TTCCTGTGGGTGGGATTCCTGCAAGGATTCCACCAGGGATGGGGTGAGAGGTTCCTCAGGGTCAGGTTTTTGCAGCAGAATTCTTCCAACTGTGAAGTCAGGGAGTGTTTGAAATCCCTTTGTTTGCAGGAAGGAAATGCTGGAATTTGGGATACTCACCAGGACCTGCAGCCGTGGACAGTGTATGGAAAGCTGGATTAGTGTGCTGTCTGTAATCTGGAAAAAAAGGAAAAACCCTTTTATTTTGGTGCTGGGCACAAGGATTTGGGTTTTTTTTTTTTTTTTTTCTTTTCTACCAAAGCAAAACTGCAGGATTTTCCCTAATCCATAAGATTTCCCCACAACCTCTGAGGAATCCTCATGGATTCTGCCCTTGGGGTGCAGAGGCATCACTGGATTGTTTTTAAATTCCTTAAGGGGCTGAAATCAGCTCCCAAATGTTCTTCTAGAAGGACAAGGAAGGCTCAGATTCCTGCTGAACACCCTATGGATTGCCCAGTCCTGGTTGAAGAAGGAATTCCCACAAAGATTCCCAATCCCAAACTCCATGTGAGCTGCCTGGGATGGATTTGTGCCTGCCCAGTTTCTGGTTTTCTTCAGGAAGAAGGAATTCCTTACAGAGATTCCCAATCCCACAGGAGCTGCCTGGGATGGATTTGTGCCTGCTCATTTCCTGATTTTCTTCAGGAAGAAGGAATTCCCACAAAGATTCCCAATCCCAAACTCCATGTGAGCTGCTTGGGATGGATTTGTGCCTGCCCAGTTCCTGATTTTCTTCAGGAAGAAGGAATTCCTACAAAGATTCCCAAACCCACAGGAGCTGCCTGGGATGGATTTGTGCCTGCCCAGTTCCTGATTTTTTTCTTCAGGAAGAAGGAATTCCCACAAAGATTCCCAATCCCACAGGAGCTGCTTGGGATGGATTTGTGCCTGCCCAGTTCCTGATTTTCTTCAGGAAGAAGGAATTCCTACAAAGATTCCCAATCCCAATCCCACAGGAGCTGCCTGGGATGGATTTGTGCCTGCCCAGTTCCTGATTTTCTTTGGGAAGAAGGAATTCCCACAAAGATTCCCAATCCCACAGGAGCTGCTGGGATGGATTTGTGCCCTGGCTCAGCTTTGCTTCTCCCTTTTTAGGGTTCATTCCCAATCATTCCCTCTTTAAATCCCAAATTTCTGCCCAGGACAGGGATCCAGATGTTTCCAGAATCCCATTCCCTTGGGCTTGGAGGTTTTTTCATGGAATTTTGAGTCAATTCCCTAAAAATGCTTCAGCCCAGTTTCATTTCAATCATTGCTGTTTCACAATTTTCCCCACAGTTTTCCATTCTTTTTAGCAAGGTAAGATTTTTTTCTCTGGGGTTTTCCCCTCAAAAATCCGGGATTTTTCTCTCACAAATCCATTTTTTTCACCCAGGATCTTTCAGTAACTAATATTTCTTATTTACAGCAGTGTTCCCATGGAATCCAAACCAAGGATAAAATCTCATTCCCANGGGTTCATCCCCGGGTGCTGCTCACAGGGGCCGGGATGAGGGAGGTGATGGTTCACACAACTGAGAACCAGGGGATGGGAGCTCGGCCCTCCCTGTGGATGAGCCCTCCATGTTCCAGATCCTCCTCACAGATAAACCCCCACAATCCCAGATCCTCTTCATGGATGAGCCCTCCACATTCCAGATCCTCCTCATGGATAAACCCTCCTCATGGATGAACCTTCCCCATCCCAGCTCCTCCTCATGGATAAACCTTCCACATTCCAGATCCTCCTCACAGATAAACCCCCACAATCCCAGCTCCTCCTCATGGATAAACCCTCCATATTCCAGATCCTCCCCATGGATGAACCCTCACAATCCCAGCTCCTCCTTATTGATAAACCCTCCTCATGGATGAACCCTCCCCATCTCAGCTCCTCCCCATGGATAAACCTTCCACATTCCAGATTCTCCTCATGGATAAACCCCCACAATCCCAGCTGCTCCTTATGGATAAACCCTCCTCATGGATAAACCCTCCACATTCCAGCTCCTCTCTATGGATAAATCCTCCCAGTGGATGAATCCTCCCCATCTCAGCTCCTCCCCATGGATAAACCCTGCCCATGAATGAATCATCCCCATTCCAGATCCTCCTCATGTATAAACCCTCACAATCCCAGCTGCTCCTCATGGATAAACCCTTCCTATCCCAGCTTGTCCTTATGGCTGAACCCTCTTCATCCCAGCTCCTCCCTATGGATAAACCCTCCCCATCCCAGCTCCTCCTTATGGATAAACCCTCCACATTCCAGCTCCTCCATATGGATAAACCCCCACAATCCCAGCTCCTCCCCATGGATAAACCCTCCCCATCCCAGCTCCTTCCTCCTCCCTATGGATAAACCCTTCCCGTGGATGAATCTTCCCCATCCCAGCTCCTCCCTGTGGACAAACCCCCACAATCCCAGCTCCTCCCTGTGGATGAACCCTCCACATTCCAGATCCTCCTCACAGATAAACCCCCACAATCCCAGCTGCTCCTTATGGATAAACCCTGCCCATAAATGAACCATCCCCATCCCAGCTCCTCCCTGTGGATAAATCCCCACAATTCCAGCTCCTCCCTGTGGATAAACCCTACCCATGGATAAACCCTCCCTGTTCCAGGTCCTCCCTATGAATAAACCCTCCCAATGGCTGAATCCTCCCTATCCCAGCTCCTCCCCATGGATAAACCCCCAGAATCCCAGCTCCTCCCCATGGCTGAACCCTCCCCATTCCAGCTCCTCCCCATGGCTAAATCCTCCTCATGGATGAACCCTCCCTATCCCTATGGAAAGGCAGGATGGCTCCTCTCTGTGCTATGGATAAACCCTCCCCATCCCAGCTCCTCCCTGTGGATAAACTCCTAGAATCCCAGTTCCTCCTTGTGGATAAACCCTCCCGGTCTCAGCTCCTCCTTTTGGATAAACCTTCCCTATGGATGAACCCTCCCCATCCCAGCTCCTCCTTTTGGATAAACTCCTAGAATCCCAGTTCCTCCTTATGGATAAACCCTCCCAATCCCAGCTCCTCCTTGTGGATAAACCCTCCCGGTCTCAGCTCCTCCTTTTGGATAAACCTTCCCCATGGATAATCCCTCCCCATCCCAGCTCCTCCCTCCTTCCTTCCCTTCCTCCTCCCTATGGATGAACCCTCTCCATCCCAGCTCCTCCCTGTGGATAAACCCTGCCCATCCCAGCTCCCACATATGGCTGAACCCTCCCAATCCCAGCTCCTCCCTGTGGATAAACTCCTAGAATCCCAGTTCCTCCTTTTGGATGAACCCTCCCCATCCCAGCTTCTCCCTATGGATGAACCCTCTCCATCCCAGTTCCTCCTTTTGGATGAACCCTCCCCATCCCAGC